GGTTTTCACTCGTATGCTTTTCAAAATAGGCAGCAGAGTTGATCATAACCTCTAATAGGGTAAATAAAAACCTGATTAGATAGTTGGGTTTTTACACATCTGGAAAAGTAATGGGTGAAAACAACTTTATAAAGAGTTTAATTAGGCTGACTCCTATTAACTCATTAAAGGTTTGGCCCCAACCTATTTCGGGTTATAAGACGATATGAAGGAGTTAACAATGCCAAAAATGATCAAAATGTCCGTTTTAAAAGTTGATTAATAAATTTTATTACAGAAGAAACCTTAAGCTCGTATTCTTAAATTATGGATATTTAGATTGCCGATCCCAAAACTTTTGTTTCTCATCGGAATGAGTCTATCTTTCCTCATTGAACCAGTTTTTCAGAAAAATAATGAGGCATTCAAATAATGAATTTAATACATTTAGAGGTGAGTATCAAAAATAACGAGCCTTCAGTAAATCTACCTACATAGCGTACCAAGTCCTCAGCCCCTCCGTTTTCAGGACCTGAAAGATCGTCAGAACTAAATTCCATGTGGCCTGTGACTTCAAGCCCCGCCACACCACTGTCCGAGTAGTTGAACATCCTCTCTGAACTAGCCACTCCAGAAAATCCCTTTGGAAAGAAGATATCCTTTTTTAAGCAGGTACGTCTAGTATAATGTGAATCAGCAACTATATTACTCCATGAGGCTTTTTTCGTATCTGCTTCTGCTTCACCTTGTACTGTCTTAGCTGTTATGTGGCCGGTTGCAAGGGGTCCCTCTGAACCAGCAAGGACCTTGTCATTTCCAAAAGGAGATTGAATGGGCAATTTAGCGGTCGGAGTGGTGATCACGTTCATTCTTCGGGAAATTGATCCAAACGGCCAGAGGGTCGGGCGAGCTGGAGTATCAGTAACCCATCCGTTTGATTTTAACTTGCTATGTGCCTTCGCTTCCGTCTCTGCTATTGCCTTTGTCCCTTGAACATCCGAGCAACCAGTCTGCCCAATTAGGTTAACTATAGTATTAGAGATCTCGTGAAAATTTTCGAACTGAGTAAAGTTCTGAAGCGGGTTAGATGGGACTAGGGAGTAGATAGTTAGGGGAGAATGAGATGAAATTAACATTTAGGGCTCATTGGTGAGGTTGTAGAAGAATATATACAGTTGTTATCAAAAACCGAAAAATTATTTATCAACCCATTGATGTCAACTCATGCACGTATTGTCTTGTGGGCTTCTCGATCGGTAACTGGTTGAAGGTGAATCACTCAATGACTTGAAACAAGGTTGGAATTTCTGGACTCACATTAATAGTATGCACTTTTGTGAAGAACACTAATCTACTAATAAAATCAAGTTTTTAACTAATCACAAGTGATGATATATCTAAGCTGTTGA